GCACTCCCTTTTAGAAAAGCTAACAACATACTTTCTTTCCAAGAGGCTCCAGGTATTAGTTCGTTTTTAGGGGCCAAAACAAATGGTATATCTGTGCCCGTCGTCATATCAACAGATTAGCCTTAGCTCCTTATATCTGAAACATATTCATAGAGAAAATCTTTTATAAGAACGCCATAGAAGTTAACCTCGTTTTGTGTGCGACCTCCGATAATTAATCCCTTTGTGCCTTTATTATCATTTCAGGGTCTTCTTATTATTGTCATGGAACCAGCCTTCCTTCTCCCACAATGGCGGTGGGTTATTATGAGCTGCCTTGATCACGATGCACGACGTTTCCCCTTGTCCTATTTCCATTGAGCCCTACTTAATGGCTAACCCAAATTCCTGGTTGGCACCCGAAATATCAAATAGATTGTGATATTTTGCGATCTCAGAGAACGAAGGCTCCTCTATTCTAAACCGTGTGGGTTTAACTGTCGTAAGGTGGAGCGTTAGATGAGCTTCCGTATTATTTTTGCCTCTTACACCTGGTGCGCGGCTAGTCCTCGACAAACCTTTATTGTTCTATGTTCCCACACACGTTCTGCACCCTTTTGAACAGACTTTTTCAAAATCATTTCGCTTACTCTATTACTAAAATCCTCCCCGCTCTACTCCATGCGTACACCTGGCATAGTGAAGGCCTCTGCGGCTGCCGAAGCTGAAATCGGAATAGCTGGGCCAGCACAATTTTAGACAGGCATGTCGCAGGTAAGACCTCTTGTTTAATCCTACTGCCTGGTTTGCTTGCTGTGGTCTTTTGATTCTGACCGGGCTTCGCCACAAGCTTTGACTAACCACTGACCTTAGATACTGCGTAGTCTCCCCGTGACCGGCGGTGCTCAACCGCAGCTACATTTATGAAACCCACCTTTTTCGTTTTTTCATTGGTTTTGGTTTTCCATTCGAAAAATGACCTTGAAGATGACACAACGAGTGAAAATATCTGCTGAAAATCGGGATCACCCGATCTCAAAATAAACATCTGTATAGCATACACTATAACTTGCGGCGTATGCACATAATTGCCCACACCATCCAAAACCGCATTTCCTGCCAACTAACCGCCAACCTATGAAACCACAATTCGCGGTGCATGTCAACGTTCAAGTGCAGCTGGCTGAGCGCGATAATTTAAAATATATTCGTATGCATAATTATAGAAAACTATTAACAACACTATGTGAGAATACAAAAAGTTTAAATGTGCGTCCTCAGCGGTTTTCATTATCATTAAATAAATTAAATAAAAATAGCATTATTGTTTGAACTCTTTCGGATTGACTTTAAAACTGTTATAATTTGTTGCTTGCATGATTTACGTGAATGTGTAGTGTAATACTTCGTAAATCAAATATGTGTGTGTACACTCGGCTTCACTTGAATAGGTACACATATTTTCCCTCAAGATCCAAGCTTATATCTGGACTTGCGGGCATAGGAGCAGCTTCGTTTGAATCTCATTTAGAAGAATGACGAATTTGTTTTTTTTTTTAATATTCGTAATATTTTCCAGCTAATTTTTTTTTCGTTTTTTTTTTTAAATAAAAATATCGTCCAAGCTTTACCCAAAACCGTGTAAATCATAGTTTACTTTATAAAAAATTTAGAAAAATTCAACAAATTTTCATCAAAACTTCAATTTTTGGGTATGCAGTTTTATAGTCCATACAATTTTAGTCCAATGAAGTGCAAGTTTCAAAAGGCTGAAAAAATTGCGCTGACTTTTGAGAATTTTTTTTGCAGTCTACTTTTTCGTTTTTTTTTTTAATATAACAAGCGCGATTTGCAAAAACTTGTGCTGATATTTTGAAATTTTATTGCTGACGGTATCTCACGTTTTATTTCAGAAAAAATTCATACTTATATGAAAAGAGTGCAAAAATCCGTCACAAAAAAAAAATCTCAAAAATCAACGCGATTTTATATTTTCAAAAAACTCAGAATAAAAAGTTGAAATTTTGATGAAAACTTGTTGAATTTTCCTAAATTTTGTATAAAGTTTGAAGCGGTGATTTACAAGGTTTTGGTTAAAGCTTAGAATATATTTTTATATAAAAATAACAATAACAAAAAAATTAGCTCAAATAACATTAAGAATATTGAAGAAAATCAACACGTGCTCAGATCTTGAGCAAAAAATTTGTAGCTATTCAAGTGAAGCGAAGTGTACATAAAAATAATTTCACGGACAAGTAAATTTTCAAGGCAATTGAATAATAAAATCGAATGAGCGGTTTGAACCCTCGACATTTTTTTATGGACATATTTTTTTTTCTAATTTACTTACTGATAGTCTTTACTCTCATTTTTGGTGGCGCTATTAGACGCATGCGTCATCGCTTGACGCTCTCCATAGCACCGCGTCACTTTACAAACTCATTAAAAGTCTAAGTGACCGGTTGCTTGTCGTGTTGGCGGCGGTTCTTATCAAACGGTTAGATTCGCTTAGATTTTAAACACTCCTATGCGTGTACATATGTATTTTATAATTATCATCAATTGTCGCTGTCACCTTCTTCATATGTCAGCGTGCAGTCAGAGCGCGTGTAGGAATTTGTTTCATGTTTTCATGTATGTATTTATGTATATATGTAGTACATGTAACTACATATGTAAGTACATAATTACTCGTATTGCTTGTATTTAGTACCGATGGGAATGAGTGTCGATTTTGCGGTTTCTCACAGAGAGAAGTCAAATAAATACAAACGACAAATTGATATACTCACACTAGCATTAATTTACGTTAATATCTTACTGTGAGCGAATAAAAATTTATTGTCTTAGTTTTCTCTGTCGTTTGGAATAAAGCAGTTTAAGCACAGTATCATATCCGGAGACTTTTTTGGTTGGGGATAATCATCTACTAAATATTAGCAAAAACAAAAAATATTGTATAAATTAAAAATTTATTTCCGGTCCTCATAAACAAAAAAAAAAAAATAAAAAAATTAAAACAGATTCTTCTCCCTTCACCATCTCATCTAAAAACGGGATAGGTTCCACATTTTTTCAAAAAAGAGTACTTTTCTGTCGAAAATACTTTCAGAAGCAAGTGCCGTCTATCTGATTCTCGGATCGGCCCATTTATTTGCCAATATAGCTAATAGTGTTAGTATAACTAAGAGTACTAACGAAAAACGTCGTGCGAAATTTTAAAATGAAATGATCTCACTTACATATAAACTAGAGATGGGCGCGTGACTAAATATTCAATCCCGATCCCGCCCATGCTGACATTAAATTTGTGGTTTCGAACCCCTCCATCTCGATGTTTTCCAAATTTGAACCGCAGATCCTGTGGGTCCAGATATCTATCATTAAATAAAATTCACATAGCTTTCATATTAATTTTAAATAATATACTTACTTGAATATCTTGTCCTTGAACATTCTACATATTTTCCCTACTCAACGATCTGATATTTTCTGGTTATTCTGTTTTGCTTTGCCGTTCGTTTTTTTGTCTAATTTAAAATTAAGAAGTGCTAACGATTTTTTCCCGTCCCGCCGGCAATTTTTTGAAGACCTTTCTCTCTTTCCAGAGGCTAATTCTGTGGTCGCAAGCTATAACAGCTTAAGTCAAGAGGTTGACTTTAATACATATAATGTTCCATTTCCAGCCTGGGATTGAAAATGGCACACTTGCTATTGAAAAACCATTGCTAAACGAACCCGAAAGAACTAGTTATTGTGCCAGCAACTCACCATTTAATCTAAAAAAAAAAAAAAATCGCTGTGGCGTAAGTTAATAAAGGAATGACGCATTATACTAAAGTCAACCTCGCGGCTTAAGGCTGTTGTGGCTTGTGACCACAGAGAGAGAGAGACAGAATTAACTTATTACTAAAAAAATAAAATTTATCTCAGTTCATACGAAATAAATACCTTCATAGTCAAAATTATCGATACAAGTAAATAGGTATCGATACTTTAGATCCGATATTTTTCGGCTATCGTTACTCTCTTTCGATACTACTTCCCAAGTCAAAGTAAAAGTATCGATACCTGCATGGTATCGTTAGTAGGTATAATAGGCGGCATACACCGTGTGTCTGTCTCGTGAGTCGGTTTGGATGTGTTTGTGAAAATAAATATGTGTTAGTTACACCAACTTGACTCCCGACATGACGCTGAATGATGCAACTTTAAGTAGTCGAAGGCGAGTCAACACGTATACAAGTGACTCGCGAGTCAGACGCACCGTGTATGCCGCCCATAAGAACAACAAAAACTGAATGCTAAGCATTCTCTATTGACACTATTAAGTAATTAATGTAAATAATACTGACACACATACCCGCCATTAATTAACCGTAGACCACTTGAAATCCACACATCTGCCACCCCTACGTCCGTCCTCGTCCGCTATTAGAACCTCTGCGTGACAAATAAAAACTAGCAAAGTATTTGCACATTTAAAGTATTATTTATGCGTATAAAAATATTAACACAAAATTTTGCAATGACTATTGAAAGTGATAGCAAAATGAACTGTGCCTTTAAAAATTCTACAAACTAAATAATTTATAATAATAATTTTTCATTTTCTTTTTATTTTTGCAGATAACGAATTGTCGATGAGGCCAGACACACTAGATCGCTTGGTCGGTCAGTTGACAATTGACAAGCTGAGCGGCAATCAGTTGAAGCGGAACAAGTCGACGGCAAGGAAGGCGACGGATTAGTGCAAGGCGATAGATGGCGAAATACGAAACGCTTTGGAGAAGCGGAGCTTAAATGAGAAACGAATGCCATATACATATATAAGTGCCATATCTTAACATACATACATACATATGTATATACGCATATAAGGCCATAATCTCATGTGATGCAGTGTGATAAAACTCGAATGCATTGTAAGCTGAAAATGGACAATGACTGTCAACTGCATTAACAACAACAAAAAAATATAGTAGCATGCATTATAAATAAACAAACAAAAACAAAAAAAAAATAAAGGCAACCGTTAAGTTTGCGCTCCAAATATAAATCAGATTTCATAAGTGAATGTGAAATGAAACTTGACAACTTGCAACATGTGGACTAAGTATGCCGACAATGAATATTGAAAATTGCCGAGAGCAACAGAATTCAGCTACCGAAATGTGTGCAACAACAACGTGGCTAAGTGCAACGACTATTTGACAAGAGCTGTTAGTCCACAAAATGGCCATAGCGCATGCGCAAAGGCAAAGTGTTGAATATGTAAAAATTTGGAAGCATATCAAATGGCGACGTGACTGCAATTGTAAACCGAGTTTAGTATTGTGAGAAAAACTGAGTAGAGTAGCAAGCGCAGGAAGTTGGCAAAATTTCAGTTTTTCAGTGTGGGACAAAAAAGTGGAAAGTTTTGAGGTTATACCTTTAAATGTAAATATAGACAAGAGAATATAAGTGTATGAAAATTCGCGTTCAATTGTGTGTTTAAATCTTCATGTAACAGTGTGTGATCTTTTAGATTAAGTAATGCATGTTGGGGCAAAATTTATTAGAAAAATTAAAACAAGTGAAAACTTTCAAATAATACAAGGTTCTCACAAAATATAAAATATTCAAATACATATTAAGACTCGTAATTAAAATTTTCGAAAAATTAGAAAAGTTTAGCAGTCTCCAAGAATTAATTTTTTTTTAATTTCAATATTTTCAAATTTAAAAAATTCAAATTTTCAAAAGATTAGATATTTAAAAAATGACAATAAAAAAATTTCAGAAATTAGAAAATATCAAAAAATACATGAACTATCAAAAACATTGAAATAATGTAGTTAAAAAGAAATAACTTTCAAGAAATTAAAACCTTCCATAAAAAATTAAAAACTTTCAAATAATTTAAATTTAAAATACAGCTTTGAAAGCTAAAAACTTTCCTTTTTTTGTAAAAAATTTTCGAAACGTTGAAAATTTTCAAAAAACTAAAAACTTTCAAAAAACAAAAACTTTCAAAAAACAAAAAACTCCAAAAAATTCAAAGCTTGCAAAAAATTCAAAACTTGCAAAAAATTCAAAACTTGCAAAAGAAATACACTCAAAAAATTAAAAACTTAAAAAATTAAAATCTTTCAAATACCTATAAACTCAACTTTGAAAACGCTAAAAATTTTCGAAAGACCAAAATAATGATTTCCAAAAAGTTAAAGTTTAACCTTAAAATGTATTTATTAAAAGGATTATTTTTATGGAAGAAAGGAATAACTAAATAAATGGGGAAAAAATTAAAAAAATATACATAAGTATTGTATAAAGAAACTTAATATATCGTATAAGTAAGCTCCATTAAATATATTTTACTTTTTCAAGTGCCGTACTTAACTGTTTTCAAACACTAAACCACTGTTGTGATAAGATAAAAAAAAATAAGTGAACGCACAACTCAAATTCAAAGCAAAGTTTCAGACAACTCAAACTATCAGTGCCATCAATAGAATTAACCCCCCTAGGAGCACCACACTTGCACCCTACGAAATAAAAGAAGCTTCGAAACATATCTTACTGCTGCCAACAAATGCATAACGGAATACTGTAAAAGCAGAAACCGTTATAAGCAGAAACGATAACGCCACCACCGAAAAAAAGGTTCCAAAAAGAAATTAAAAAAAAAAAATACTCGAAAATTAAAATAAAAAATCAACAAAGCAAAGCAAGCAGCTAACCAAATGACAATATCAAATCGTTTGAATCGCAGACGAAATATCAACAGTAATAACGGTAACAATAACGTTGCTGGCGACACTGAGTTATTGCTGCAAACAACACCAAAATCCATCAGCAGCCCAGCAGGCTTTCAACCTGAGAGCGGTGACACGCGGCGCAGCGCGACAGGCGGGCGTATAAAGCGCTTGCAACGACCAACAACACTAACAAATACTTCCGTGCTCAACCAGCAGTCGACGAGTATAACAACTGAAATGAACACAAACATTGCTACAGTGAAAGAAAATCCACGCGGCAATCCGAATACCGCCGCGCGCATGACTAAAATTCTGCCGGGGAAATCGCTCAAATATGAGCGACTCATAAATCAAACGACGAGAACGCGCACGCCAACAAAGGCAGTTGACATAACGTCCGAGGCGGCGGCACTAAATGCCAACGGTAATGAGTGGCTGGCGCAAAGGCAGCCTGAACAGAAACAGCAGCAGCAACAATGGCGCTTGGAAGATCAGCCAACGGCAGAGCCGTGGTACGAGCATTCATCTACAGCGCAATCTATAACGCCGGCCAGCACAGCTGCACCAGCCACACGTCTAGCTGCGGTAAGCCCAGCATCGAGAGAGACGACGGCGGCGGCGGCGACGACGATGAAAAATTGGCAAACACATTTGGAAGGCGCGGAAATGCATTTATCACCAGCAGCCACAGTCATAGCCACAGCTTCAGCCATGGACGTAGTGAATGCGAATGCCAAAGCGACGCCGCATGCCAAAGTTGGTAGCCGAAGAGGAAACGCTAGTGGAAATGGTGGCAATAGCTGGAGTGGCAATTATCAACAGCAGCATCCGTATCCGACGCCGTCAGCAACAGCGGCAGCAACAACAACAACACTGCAGCTATGCACACAAAGTCGTCGGGGCAGCAGCAACAATGGCGATGGTTGTGGCGACTTTGCCAACATGACCACCGGTAATGGCAACAGTTATGGCGGCGGCGGCGGCAACAAAACGAGCAGCACGAGTAACAATGGCAATGGCCGCCCTGGTAATAGCTTGAAATATTTTGGCAATAGTGACACGAGTAATGGCTCATCTGCGTCCGACACGGACGCACTCCTGCCCGATGCTGATGCCACAGCGCCCGCCTACCAACATTCTACCACCACCACCGCTAACGCAAACACCAGCAGGCCAAACAATGGCAACAGCAATAGTAATGCCAATTTGGCGAGAAACAGCAAAGGTTTCTACCATACCTTAACCACCACGACCACCACCAGCAGCGCCGGCGCCAGCAATAACTACGAGCCAGCTGCCACAACGCAACCAAACTCTTCGCCGTCGTACTACACATCGTCCGCGTCGCCAGCATCAGCGCGTTCGGCCTCCTCACCCGCCGCTCTGTACACATCCAACGGTGCCTCTTTATTGGCATCGTCGTACTCGGTGTCGGTGTCGGTGTCGGGGTCGGGGTCGGGGTCCGGCGCTGGGTACGGGTCATCATCCGGCGCCGTTGCATTGGTGTGTAATTGTTGCAGTCATTTAATTGCTCGCTGCTGCTTCGGTATGCCTCTGTTGAAGGCTATCAATGTGCGACGGTGTGTGCTGGCGTTATTCGCCATAACGGTCGTTACGATTTTTTACTACACTCATTACGTCGATACGGGCGTTTTTGTTGGGTAAGTAGTAAATGGCAGGGCGAGCACAAAAAGCGAGCTTACACAATTTTACGCAACTTACAGACACCTCCATATGTATGTACATATGTTTGGATGTACAATTATACAGTTTTCCTATACATATATTAACAGTGCAATGCGAATGTACGTATGCTTACATACGTATACATATCATACATACGCATCACTGGTTTGTGGAAATAAGTACATAAATCGAGAAATGCGATTGAGAATTCTCTGCTTTGTAGAGTCTTACTTGCCTTTGTACTATTGAAAGTACGAACCAGAGGTGCATTTTTGGACACTTAACTCGGGGCATAGATTTTTGCTTATTTTAAACTGGACATAATTTTTTGGCTATTTAAAACTGGAAAAATTTTTTTGACAAAAAAAAAAATAATTACACATTTTCTGTCATTTGAAAACTTCACATAATTTTGTGTACTTTTGAAAACCGGACATAATTTTTAGACATAAATTTTTGGCTATTTTAAAACTGAGCATACCTTTTACTCATATACTAGCAATTTTTTTTTGTTCATAAACCTTTGGCCATTTAAAACATGGACATATGTAATTTTTTTTTTGGTAGTTAAAAACCGAACATATGCAATTTGTTTTGGTAATTTTAAGTCTGATCATATATTTCGGGCCATTTAAAAATTTACATTTGAATTTGAGGTTAAATTCATTTAAAAGTTGGCCATAACGGTAAAAAGTATACGTCAACTATAGATTTGTAAAAAAATAACATAGAAAACTGAACAGTAAATGGTTGTGCGTATGTTAGTGCACTTTTTAATATCCACTTTCCGTGATGAAAGATTTTTTTTTCACTTTCACTGTAAACTCAGGAAACAATTAATTTAATTAATTAAAGATAATAAAAAATCTATGTCCTGTTTGTAAAAAGAAATTATGTTCAGTTTTCAACTGACGAAAAACCCAGTTTTTAATTAACAACACTTTATATCCAGTTTCTAAATAAAAAAAAGTTCTGTCCAGTTTTTAAATAAAAAAAAAAAATGCATGCATATTTAGTTTTTAAATATTTACAACCAGTTCTTAAATTGCCACAAAATTATATCCCGATCTTAATTTTCTTACATTTCCAAAAATGTATGTTCAGTTCTCAAATGACAAAAAATTTATGTCCAGTTTTTGCATGACTAAAAATTTATTTTTCATAACCAATAATTTGTGTTGATACATATCTACAATTAAAAAATAAAAAAATTTATGACCAGATTTAAAAAAGAGAAAAAAACATGCCCAGTTCTTAGACAACCAAAACTTGTGCCCAGTGTTTTTAATAATAATATTTGTGCACAGTTTTTAAATGAACGAATATTTATATTCAACACGCAAGTTTCCAAAAATGTATATCCAGTTTTTAAATAAATAAATATTAGTGTCAAATTTTAGTAAAAAGAAAAATATTTTCAGTTTATAAATATCAGAAAAAAAGGTCTTAAGTTACATACCAAACAATTTTTTTCAACTATCAATTGTTCCATTTCCCTGCTGATATATCTTTGTAGACTGAGAGAAAAAACGCATTGTAATATTAAGTAAAATGTCATGCATTCGCAGAGGGAAATAACGCATAGTAAAAATAAATATTTTTTATTTGATTATCGTTTTTAAATGTGCGTATTTAAAAATAATACTTTCATACCAAACTCAGCATTTGCTAGCACATTTACATGTCCGGCTGTAGTTGAGTGCGTAAAAATGCTTGCCACAATTTGTTTATTCCCAGATCGTCAGGGTTCAAATTCCATTGCAGGCGGCATGGAAATAAATTATTATTTTTTTTAACTTAACTATGAAAAAGCATCCGTTAAGTGCAAAACGTTTCATTTTAATATGAACGTATTTGAATTGAATATTTCCATACTAAATACTTAAATTGGTATACTAAGATTTATTACGAGTTGGCTTGGTGCTGTTTCATATGCGTATTTTTTTTTTAAATTTAGTACGCATTTTTTCTCATTCTGAAATTTTTTTTTCTCCCAGTGTATTTTCATTATTATGAACCATTCTAACTGCATAAGTATCTAATGCGTGAGCACAAACTCGTTTGTAGTCTATTAATAAATAAACATAATTTTAGTTACTCCATTTTTGCTGCAAATGAGCATTTTTTTACATTTACACAAACACGCACACATGCATTCATACATTCCCGCATACATTTTAATCGCAGCGCTTTTGTGGCAATTATTCTGAGCAGTTAATTTTTTATTGCATACTTTTGAGGGTTCGTTAAGGGGCATTTAGGGTAATCGCTTTAAAGCGGCGCCAATTTGGTATTTCAAGTGTTTCTCGCCTCTGTCAAGAGTGTCGGTATTGGCGCGGTTACTTTTTTTTTTTGAAGAGATATGAATTGGCTTTTGTAAAAATACGAGCTAATATACGGTATGGGCATTAATATATGAAGTATTCGTATTTAAGCGCCAGATATTTGAGAGCATTTACAGATGAGTGAACTGTGTTAAAAAAAAATCGCTCTTTTGCCGATTAATATGCAACAGTAATTATACAAAGAGTAGCGCACGCTACTTTTAATGGATCTGACTGAGCTTTGTTGGCTGACTGAAATTGTTATGACCTACGCTAATTTTCTTGCTTAAACGAGTACCACAGAAGATCTGAAATCTTGGATGTGAAAACTTGGCCAAAATGTTTGCGGAAACTATTACGAAGGAACTAATCAGAGTTTGCTTTTGAGGCCACCAGGTCTAGAAGTACGGCGAAGTGATCTGTTCCCGCGCATAGTTGATAATCCAAAATGACGAATACAATATCTACCGAGAGCTTTTACTCTGTGCGTGGTCTTATAAAATAAAAATATAATAAAAAGCTGCAAACATTTTTAACCGTGGGATAGGGTTTGCTCGTGATTGGTCTAAAACTTAATTGGCCATCTCAGAGTACGCAACTCTGCTTTTTTCAACTGCCATCTGTTCGTAGGCGAATATCCAATTTTGAGAAGGCTACGATATTAATTTTTCTTCCGATATTAATAAAAAGATAACTCCTTCGGGTGCATCACAGAAGGCCAAGGTTGGTTCTTCCGCCGACAAGGTGATGGCGTCGCACAGTGTGGAAAATTGACTTTTTTTGTAACGAAATGTAGTATTTCGAGAACGACAACAGCTAGCGAAAGAGATTTTGAGATGGAAAGTTCAGTAAAAATAGTCTCGTTTTATAAAAAATTACTTTGACCATTAAAGTGACCTTCAAAAGTAGATTGCCTCATTTGTTTTTCTTTTTGACCTAAAAAAAATTGCAACGCAATTTTTAAGAAGTTTTAAACATATATTTTTGCGTGTTGGTGTTGGTTGATTTTTCCGACAGGGTGGTAAGATGATTTATTTTGGAACGAATTTCCGTCATCCCTTGTCAAGTTTGGTTTGCAGACAAACCGGTTTCGGCATTGTGCCATCTTGACAAGGGATGACGGAAATTCGTTCCAAAATAAATCATATATTTTTGCTGTTCCCTCTTCAAGGAACAAATTTTCATTTTTTTTTATTAGAATTTGTCACAAAATAGCTAATACTAAAAAATATATTTAAACAATCTTTCTGAATATGAACTAAATTGGACCCTAAATACGGGGTTTTAAAATATCCGACGGCGCTAACCGCCAAAATAACGTAAGCGACAGTTTTTTCAAAATTTTATTTTTGATGCAGAAATGCATATAGATGTTCTGGGAATATTTCTGCATCAAAAAGAAAATTTTGAAAAAAATGTCGCTTGCGTTATTTTGGCGGTTAGGGCTCGATATATTAAAAATATAAACTAAATCAGTTCATAGGTACAGGAGTGGTAAGAGACTTGGGTCGAATGCAGAGGCCATCACTAAAACCTAAGGCCTAATTCGAGAAATTTTCGAACCCCCATTACGCATCACCCACATCTTTATCGTTTAAGATTTGTGGTTTAAAAAAGCTGATATTAATTAACCCACTGCAACTCTGCAGGTAAAATTAATAAAAGAAAATTTCCATAAATGCAAAACTTAAGACCCAAACGCATAATCATTTTCGGTGCTCCTTCAAAATTAAATGCTTTAAAGTTTTTCTACTTTGGTATACGTCATACATACATACACACTTATGTATGTGTGTACAAGCATCAACTATGTACATCTGTATGCACGCCGCTTACTTTAATTCCTATTGCTTCCTGCCGCCCGTGGCCTTCAACTCTGCTTTACTTCCTTGCCGTTTTCAACCAGCTACACACAGCCCTGAAAAGGTAAACTTTCTGTGCATAAAATTATGAAAAATTCACAAAAATTGAGCTGCAACTCTTTTGTGTGTTGTGTACATACATTTTGTATCATAATTGAATTTCCATAGGACTGCCGCTGCTCTGCTGGCACGAGTAACGCAAGTCGTTCGCATTTTTGCCCAGCGCCAGTTACATACCTACTACGCAGCTATATAGTACTCCTTTCTAGTAGTTGGTGGTAAAAAGTTTTAATTTAAATTCGCTAGTATGCAATTTTGTTAGAGACTTACTACAACAACAACAATACAGTATAATATTAGTGCCTTGCATGTATGGTATATGATTGTATGCGTGCTTGCTAGGGATGTTAATTTTTCAGCTTTTTCCGATCCCGGGATTCTTGGGATGTCATTATCACAATCCCGCGATGCCGGTATTTACATATTCATTACTCTTCAACAACTTAAATCGCGAAAAATGCTTCTGTATTGTTTGAGAAGCTCTCCTACCATAAAATAAATAATAATTAAATGGGTTTGAAACCTACTTTTTAACCGACTTCCAAAAAAGGAGGAGGTTATCAGTTCGTCGGAATATTTTTTTTTTTTTTTTTTATGTATGTTACCGCATAACTTTGGACCGCGTCAACCGATTTCGATAATTCTTTTTGCATCGGAAAGGTAGTGTCTCAGAGGTGGTCCCATACTAATCTGGTTGAGATCCGATCAGTGGATCATGAGATATATATATATATATATTTTTTTTATATGGGAGTTGAAGTCGGTTTTTTTTTTTAAAATTA